TTTCTAATTTTCAGAAACTATTAATATATGATAAATTTTATTTTTATATATGTATATATATTTATATATATATTTTTTTAAAAAAAAATATTAATATTTTAATTTATAATTTCTGTATAATAATTAAATATAAATTTAATAATAACAACTTTATATATAGTAATATATACAATTTTTATTTTAATTTATATATAAAATTTAATATAAAATTAATTTTAAATAAAAATTGTATTAATATTAAATTTAATTTTTTGAAATAAAATAATTTAATGCTTTATAAATTTATTAAGTTATTGATTAAATTTTTAGTTTTTTATGAGTTATAATATTATATAAATATATATATATTTATGTATTTATTTTAATTTTTTATTTTTTATATATATTTTTATTAAAAACATAATTATTATTTTTTTTATTTAAAATTATTTTTTTATGATAATTACTTTAAATAAAATATTCATTTTATTTATAAATATTAACTTTATTTTCTTTATATTATTATATTATTATAATAATATGAAACTTTATTTTTTTAATAAGAAAACTTACATATCTTTTTTATTTTCTTTAAATTATATTTAAAAATTGTTTTTACCTAAATTATATGAAAAAAAAATAGCATTTTTTATAAAATATATATTTTTTTCATTTTTAAATTTAATATCAATTAAATATTTTCTATAATTTTTTTTTTTTTTATATATTTATAAAATAAATATTATATATATATATATATTTATTTTTAATATTTTTTTTATCTTAAATGATTAAAATATATTAAATATTTATTAAAAATAAACAAAAAAAGTCTATTTTTGTTATTTTTATCGGCTTTAGTATTGAAATTTTTTATATTCTAATTTCTATTTATATTTAATTTCGTTTTTAATGTATTTTTGTATATAAATTAATAATTTTATAAAAAAATAACTTTTTTATATATATGGTAAATTTATTCTAAAACAATGAAACTAGATTCATATTAAATATTAATTAAATATACTATTTTTATATTATAGCTCTGATTATGTAACTATTTTATTTAAATATTCACATATTATTTTATATTATTTCTATATTTAAATTGTATTTATTTTCTATTGTTTTAATATCTATAAATTATATTCATTTTTTTATTTAAATATTTATTTTATTACTAAAAAATATAAAACTCCAATAATTTATTTTTTATTATTTATTTAAAAAAAAATTATTTTTTTTTTATTAAAAAAAAATGATAAATTTTTTTATAAAAAACTGTCATGTTTTATTTTATTTATTTTAATAAAATATTGATTTTAAAACTAAAATTTCATTTCATTTTTAGTTTTTTATAAAATAAAATTATAATTGCATAAAAAGCAAATATTTTAAATTATTTTAAATGATTTTTTATTATTCTAATATAGAGTTTCATATAAATAAGAAAAAAAGACAGATTTTTGATTTAAGACCTAAAAATTTTGTAAATTTTTATAATATAATTTGATTTCAAAAAAAATTATGTTTTAATATTTTTTTTTATTTTTTATAATAAATTAATCAAAAAATAAAATTTAAAATTTCTAATAAAAATAAAAATAAATATAAAAATAAAAATAAAAAAATGTTTCTATAAGTTAAAGTTTATAATTATAAAAAATATTTAAAAATAAAAAAAAAATATTATATCGTATGATATATAAAAAATTAGAGAGGAATAATATAGCAAATATTGAGATAAGTAATTGTGATATTTGAATATAAATAAAATAATTATAGTTTATAATAATTTTAAAAATATAAAAGATATTTTTTATTTTAATAAATAAAAAAATAATATAATATAATTTATTAAATAAATATATATATAAAAAATATATATATATATATATATATATTTATATATAATTATTTATATATATATATATATTTATAATATTTTATATATATTTTATACATATTTTAATATTAATAAAATGGAATACTAATTAGATTAATTAAAAGAATAAGGAAATTTATTTTTTAAATCTAAAGATATAACTAAAGCAATAGAAATATTTTAATAAGCATTAGATTTAATTCCTTAAAATCCACCAACATTTTTAAAACAACATTCTTAAATTAGTACAAATCTTGCCTTATGCTTTTTAAATCAAAAAAATTATTAAAAAGTACTCGAAATTACTCAAAGAGTGCTCGATTATGATCCTGAAAATCCAAAAGCATTATATAGGACTGCTTTGGCATATAAAGGATTATCTGAGAGACTATAATATCTTGAAAAATACGAAACTATGGTCTAAAAAGAAGATCTTTTAGCTTATTCAAGGGCTAATTTTGAAAAATTAATGTCAATAGAACCTAACAATAATGTAACAAAGACAGAATTATCAAATGTAGTAAAAGAGTAGGTAAAAAACAGGCTTAATATGAAGAATCATAAGGACTATTTACCAAATTAAGTAAAAATATAAGATAAAGTAGAATAAAAAATACCTATAATTTAAAAAAATTAAGATTAAATGAAAATAAAAGGAAGCCAATTCACAGTAAAATAATTAAATGAAGTCGCCTTAAATGCTTTTTAAAAAATAAAATAAGATATATTCGAAAAAAATGAGGTTTTTGAAAATTCATATCAATTTGAACATAATTTAAATTTATTTAAAAATCATTTAGATGATTTATATGATTATTTAAAGAAAATATATACATAAATTTCTAAATTATATATATAAAAATTATTTCCAAGTTAATTTTTTATAATGATATTATAAACTGTAAATCAATTTAAAAAAAGAGTAAAAAAATTATAAAATATATAAATATATAAATATATATAAATATACCTATATAAATATATACATATATACATATATACATTTATTTATCTATTTTTCTATTCATCTATATTTAATTTATAGAGATAGATAGTTTATAATTTAACTCTTTGAATATATAGGACAAACATATAAATTTAATATGTGTTTAATGTAAATTACAAAAGAAGAAAAAAAAGTATCTAATAATTATTCGAATTTTGCGATTATTAAGAATAGATTTTATTTTAATTATATAAAATTATATGAAATTAATTTATATTTTTTTTTATTTATAAATAATTATTTAAAGAATATTAACAAACTTTTATTATTATTATTATTTTTGAATTTTATCAATAAATAATGTAATTAAATATTAGTATTTAAATAATATATACAAAAATTTTTATATATAATACTTTATTTTATATAAAGCATATTTAAGAAATCTAAAGTAAAAAAAAATTAAAAATATATATATTAAAAATAAAAAAAAAAAAAATTTACTTAAAAATAAAAAATAACAAATTTTTTGAAAAAACAATAATATAAATAAAATTCTAATTATCGATTATAATTATTAAATAAATATAAAAAATAAATCTTTATTGAAGTTCATTTTAATTTAGAAAAATATAATGAATTAAATTATAATATTTATATATATATATATATATATATATATATATATTTATATATTTATTTATTTAATTATTTTTACATTTTTAATGATAAATACAAAATTAAATTGTATTATTTTTTAAATTTTTTTGAATAATAAATAATTCTTAAAAAAAATTATATATATATATATCTAAATATATCAAATGTTTTTTTTAAAATATTTTGTTTCTTATATTTTTATATAGGTAAAGATATAATTAATAAAATTTCTATAAAATCTATATAAATAATTAACAATTATTGATTTTAATTCAAATTATATATTATATTTTTTAAATATATATATATTTTATATTATTTAAAAAAATAATAATTAATATTTTTATATATATTATTTTTTTTTTATCAATTATTTTTATTATTATAAAATATAATAAATAAATTTAATTTTTTTTATGAATTTATTTTATTTAATTATTAATTAAATAAATATAACTTTATTTTAAGATATTATATAAATGAATTAAATAATATATTATCTTTTATTTGTATATTAATAAAAATCCTTAATTTGGAATATTATATACTTTATAAACTTTTTATGTATATTCATTTTAAAAAATAAAATAACAATGTGATTTAATAAAAAAATATATATTATTTAACATCATAATATATATATATTAATATTTATATTTTAAATATATTATATATATTTATATATTTATATATTTATATATTTATATATTTATATATTTAATATTTTTTTTTATTTATTTTATAAAGATATATATTAACAAAACCTTTTTAAGATTTATATAAATTTATATATCATTTATATTTATAATTTTATTTTACTTTAAAAATCTTATTAATAATAAGCATTTTTTTTTTTAACTTAGAAAAGATTTTTTTTTTTTTTGATATATGTATTATTTATTTATTTCAATAATATTGTATAATTTTTTAAATATTTTTAATTACTAATTTTTTTTTTTTTTTTAATATTCCATATTTGAATAATGTATTATTATTATTATCATATATACTTATATTATTATATGAATTCTATTAAATTATTTTTAATACTAAAATTTTATAATACAATGTTTTTTAAAATAAAAAAAAAAACTTAATTTAAAAATATTTTTTTTTATATCTTACCATTTTTTATAATTAATATAAAGATTTTATTCTAAACAAATATAAATCATATACATAATATTATTTTAACCTAATATATATAGAAATTTCTTTTTAAAAATAAAAAAAAAAAAAAACTAATTTTTTTTTTGTCCAAAAAAAAAAAAATATTCAATAATTCATTATAATAAAATATTTTCCTTTTATTAAATTTTGAAATACAAACACTAATTTTTATATTTTTAATATTAAAATAAAAAACTCGAATTTTTTATTATTATAAAAAAAAAAAAAAAAAGTATAATATATAATAACAATTTAAAATATATAAAAATAAAAAAATAAACAAATAAAAAATAGAAATTTAAAATAATAAAATTAATACTAAAAAATAAAAACAAAAAAAAAAGCAAAAAACTCTAAAACTCACGAATTTCCACTTATAGTAAAAAAACTTTTATCACTTAAGAAATTTTTAAGTGTTTTTTCATCATTAATAACCATTATTTTTTCATTAGTAATATTATCATTTCCTTGAATTTTCTTATCTAGGCTATCTTCCTAATTATGTACTTGAATTGAAATCAATCTTTTTTCTTCAAAGAAAATTTAGTCATAAAAATAAATTATATCTTCTTCTGTTAAATACTCTAATTCATTAATAGATAATTAATCAGATTCAAAAGAATAATTTAATCCTTCCATTTTTTAAACCAAATATTCCATAGTTTCTTTAAGAGAGTCTTTATGTTTGTTTAGTCTATATTAGGCAGCCTCTTTTAATAATTAAAGATATTATTCTAATTAATCAGGTAGTTATTCCCTATATTTTATTAAAGCCTCATTTACATAATTATTCATTTCTGGAGCTGAAACTTAATCTCCTAATATAGATATTATTAAACTATCTATATTTCCTATAGTTAATAATTAAGCTTAAACTTAATAACCTAATTATTTTTCAGAACGTAAGAATTAAAATAGATAAGTATTTAAATCTTATATAAAGGTATTCAATATAGCATAGTTTCTAGCATTTCTTTCTCCTATTTAATAATAATTTACTAAACCACGATTTTTATTGTTTTCTGTTCCTTAATTTTTAACTCTATATAATATATAAAATGAAAATAAATATAAATTAAAAAATATATATAAATAATATATATATGATTATTTACCTTATAAAATACGAATCTAATTTATTTATATTAATTATTTATTATTATTATTATAAATTCAGGTTTTTATCACTAAAAGTAGTTATATTTTCAATATTTTAGAGTATATCTTAGGCTTATTTAGCCTATATGTTTCCGATAAAAAGAGAAGTTAATTTAAAGGTATTTTTTTCTTTTTCTTTTATTTATTAAATATTTTCGATTTTGAGTTTATTTAAATTGCTTAGAACTTCTTCGGGTTCAAAAAAGGACTTTTTTAAGCTTTTTTAAAGGAAAATATAAAAACCTTGTTCTATTGGATTTTATTCTTTAAATTTAGAAAAATACTCAGCTTATTATTATACTGCTAGGTTGAATTATTCACTATTTATCTACATTTTTTCGTATATTTCAAATATTTTCTATATTACTTAAGGGAAATTTTCACTCCAACCTTCCACGTATAATCTTATTTAGCTGTTTTTGTATTAAATATCAAGTTTATAATCAGCAATAAGGGCTTAAGAGATTTCTTTTTGGAGTTCATTTTCGAAAATTTAGGCATAAACAGCTCCTATGGAGTATTGTTTGATGTTCTTGTTCATATTGGGCATTTAAATGGCAAAATAGGCGGCTGTTTTGGGTGAAAGGAAGTATTAGTCGAATAAAAACCAGGATTCTACGCCTTTTTAGTACTTAATAAGTTGGGGTTAATTCATATTTTCGTTTAGGAAAGTTTAGAAATCACATTCGGTATTATCCTCGGGAGAAAAATCGAAGTTTTTGAAGATTTTTTTGAGAAAATCTTAATTTTCGCTTTTTTTTTGGAGTTCATTTTACGAAATTTACTCTAGGTTTATTTACATTTCGTTTTAATTGCAAACTTCTATTAATTTAGTCGAAAAAGGGACAAAAGGATTTAATTAAGGAGTTATAAAGGTGTTTTTTTAGAATTCTTAGTCTATATTAGTCATTTCTTATATAGATGTTTCACTTAAAGTCCTTTAGGAGTACTCTAGGGAGAATAAAGGGACATTATTATCAAATTCATTGTCTTTAAAAAGAGACTCTTAGGCAGTTTTTTCTGAAAAATTAGGCGATTGTAAGACTAAAATAGCTGATTAGGCTATATCTTGCATTTAGTTTAGGATTTGGATGAATTATTATTTATCAAATTGATCTTAATAGAGACTTTAGGTAGCTAGTACTTCCTTATAGTTGAAAAAATTGAGGTTTTTGGCAAACTAAGCTATGTCTTTTTCGGAAAAAGTGGAAGATGTCTTAAAGGTAAATGAAAGATCTTATATTTTGGACTTTTCGTGGTATATTTAGTCTAGTATAGGCTATGTTTTTAGGAAATCGAGGTAGTTTAGGAGGGAATTGGTGATTTTTTTATATGAGTTTTCAAACGAAAAATTCTCGGTTTTTTAAAGGGTAAATTTAAGGTGGAAAATAAGGAAATTTTACTAGTCGAGGAATTTTTCAGTGGAAAAATCGAGAATTAGGCTTTCTTTGTTTTTTAAAAAATATACTAAACTACCTTCTTTTTCATTTTAAAGGAAATAATCCAGGAATTCTAAAGGCCTTTTTTTGTAATTTTTTCGGTCGAAATCTAGTTGGAAAAAAATAGAAAATTTGTCGTTTTCGCCTTTCAGTTTTATTATCTATCCTAGGTCTTTTATAGGCTTTCCGAAAAGTTAAAAGTTCGTTTTTTCGTTAGAGTTATTATCTTCGGGTATATTGGAGAATACTTGGACATATTTCTCTACTTTATCTAAGTCTTCGTTAGTATAGACGACCAATTTCATTACATTTGGGGTATAAAATTTACTTTTAAAGGCATAAAGTTCATCTTTTATATTGATTTCTTTATTTTCTAATAGTGTTTAGGTGTTTCCGACTGAAAAACGACTAAATGGGTGTATAGGATCTGATATTTATTTCAATAAACTCTCAAGTTTAAAGTCCTCTTTGGCTAAATCTATTTAATATTCATCGTCTACTGCACTACTTTCTTTTTATATAGAATCTTCGTCAAAAATTGGCGAAATAAACATATTTGCGAATATATCTAGTGTTTCTTCTAAGCTTTTAGTCTATGTTTTGTAATAAAAATTCGTATTATCATCTTCTGTATATCTATTTTTTATTTATTTTTTTTAAAAAAAAATATTTTAGTTTACGCATTTGAATATCCACCGTTTTTACTTAATATTTAATCTAAATAACCTTTTTCAGGGTATTTCTCACATTTTAGAAATATCATATGTTCCAAAAAATGAGATAAACCTAAAACTTATTGAGGTTCTTACCAAGATCCGGCTTATACATCTAATGAAACAGCTGAATATTAGGCTTATTTATTAGAAATGAGCATTATTTAGAGTTTATTTGGTAAAGTAAGGAGCTTATAGGTATTATTTTAGTCTGTTTTGGGTTTAATTATATATTAAGAGGCGAATTATTCTTTTCTTTTAAGGTTTTATGCATTAAAAGTGGAGATTATTATAATACTAATACCCACTAAGACTGTTATTAATGCTACTATGGTTATAAAAATACATGATTTTTCAATTATGGATTAGTTGCCAATAAATAATTAGGAAAGATAGGTTTTTGTGCGTTTAAGTAAAGATTAATTCTTTTCACGATCGAATAAATCCTCACGAGATATCAAATTCCTTTATAAGTAACCGCAGTTAGATGAGTTTTCGGGGGGATTTTAGATTATAGCTTATTCTTCGTCTTAAATATGGCGTTTTTGTAGACTTTCGGACATTTTTTTTTTTATATTATTTATTTTATATATATATATATAAATATTTTTTATTTATTTATTTTTTTTAAAAAAAAAAAAAAAAAAAAAAATTGTTTTGTTTTTTATTTGTTTTTTTAGTTTTTTAATAATATATTAAAAAAGCGTTTTTGAATATTTTTTTTAACAATGTTTTTTTATAATATATATCTTTGTTATTTTTATATTTGGTACATATATATTTTTTTTTTTTTTACAATATTGAATTAATAAATTTATATTTAGATTTTTTATTTATCTATTTATTTATTTAATAATTTAATTTTTTATTATATTTTAGTATGAAATGTATATTATTAGCTTGGTTAATTTTATTTTAAAATATTTAAAATTTAAATATAATATATATTATTATTTTTTTTCTTAAGTAAATTAAAAAAATAAATATTTAAAAGTATAATTATATCATATATATTAAATTAATTTTTTTAAAAAAAAAAAAATGAATATAATTATATATTTATTTATTTAAAAAGAGCTATTTTTTCACATAAAATATATATAAAAATTTAATAAATATTTTTTATTTAAGATTATATTAATTATTATTTAAAATATAATTTATTTATTTATTAATTATTTTAGATTTTTTATTTAAAATTATAAAATAGAGATAATAATATTAAGTATATTTTTTTTTTAATAACAAAAACATATTAAATTAATAACTAATTGTTTTTTTTAAAAAAAATTCAAAAAGATTTAATATTTATTTTTTTAGGTATATTTATTTAAATTAATAAAAATAATTTATTATTATTTTTTGAAAATGTAATAATATAATTAATTTAAATATATTAATATATGAACTTATTATTTCTATTTATTTTAAAAATATTATTTTAGTAAATTTATATTATAATATTTCAATATTAGTATACTTATATGTATTAAATATTTTTTGTTAAACAAAATATTATAATAAACAATTTAAACTTATTTTAAATTTATATAATTTTAAAATATATTTTTTGTCTTAAAATTTAGTTTTAATATAATAAAATATAGTATAGTATATGAATCATAGAATTATTCTGTATTTATTTTGATTTTATAAAAGAAATTAAAAATTTCTTTAATAAAATTAAAAAAATTATTCATTTTATGATTTGATTTTGTTTAATATAAAAAATAACTTTAAATTAAATATCTTTTTTTTTTTATTTAAATAAAGATTCTAAAATAAATATTCTTTTTTTAATATAATTTTTGTCAAATATATTAGTTTTAAAAAACAGATATTATATATATATATGATTAAAAATGAAAAAAAAAATATAATAAATAAACATATGTATATATATAATTATATATATATATGTGTATATTATTTTTTATTTTTATATATATATATATAAATATATATGTATATGTTTATTTATATTTAATTTTAAACTAAAAAAAATCATTTTCATTAGTTTTTTTTTTCAAAATTTTAATTAATATACTCTTCTAACTTAAAATAAACTAATTTCATTATTTTAAGAATACTATATTTTATACAGTTCATATATAATATTTTTTTAAAAAATTCTTTATTAAAATGAAAATAATTATTATAATTTTTCTTATTAAAATTAAATTATAATATATATTTTTGTTTAATATTTTTTAATACATATAAATTAAAATAAAAAGGAAAAGTTCTTGAGAGAACTTCAAAAATAATTATAATAACACTATAAATATAAAATTTATTTAAATATTTTTTTCTATATCTTTTTTTTAAAAAAATATAAATAAAAACACACGCTAAACAAATTTATTTTTTTATTTTAAATTATTTCCGCGTTTAAATTAAATTATTTTTTTAAAAGAATAGTATTTTATTTGATTCTTTTATTATTTTGAAAAGCTTTATTTTTTTATTATTGTAAATATAAATAATACTAATAAAATATTTTTCTATATATCCTATTATTATCTATTTTTTCTATAGGTATTTATATATATATATGAAATGTTATAAATCTTAGTTTTTATAGTGTTTTGTTTATTTAATTTAATGAATTTCCATTTTAATTAATATATTTTTTCATTCAATATATTATTTAAGAAACATGATATGGTAATAATTTATTGTCTTTTTAAGGATTTTTAATGTTTTAATTGATGTTTTTTTAAAATATAATTTATAGTATTTCCCTTTTTTTTTGTTTTTTTTAATAAATATTAATATTAAAAGTAAATAATTTTTCATTTATTTATATTTAAAAAAAAAAATTAATTTAAAAAAAAAAAAAAAAAAAATGGAAATTTAAGAAAAAATTAATTAAATAGATATTGAAAATTTTCCAATATTTGAATTAGATAATATTATAAAAGAGCACAAACCTTATTTTAAAAAAATTTTTACCCTTTTTTAATAAAAACTAGATTAAATCAATTAAAATGAAGGTTCACTTTTATAATTTGCGAAAAGTACATAAAATACCTTAAAAATAATAATAATATTTATATATAAATATATAGGTTATTAAAAATATGGTTTTAACATAACATAAGATTACTTAATTTATAAAGAATATGCCCCAATGGCTAAAGAAGTATATTTATTCGGTGAATTTAATAATTGGAATCGCACATAATATCCACTTATACGCGATTAATATGGTAATTTCGAGATAAAAATACCATTAAAAAATTCAAATAAACCCATAATACCCCACAATACTCGTATAAAAGCACATGTAGTTACCCAATCAGATAAAGGAGTAGACAGAATTCCTGTTTGGTGCAAAAAACTATACCAAAATAATCAAAATAAGATATTCGACGGACTTTTTTGGCACCCAGACCCACCATATAGCTTCCGAAACCCAAAGCCTTAAAAAAAGCACGCTCTTAAAATCTATCAAGTCCATATAGGAATATCAGGAAAAGAACCCTGTATCTACACATTCAATGAATTCAGAAAAAATATTCTTCCACGAATCAAAAACCTAGGTTATAATTGCATTTTATTAATGGCTTTAGCCGAACATGCTTATTATGGTTCTTTTGGATAACATGTAACTAATTTATTCGCTATTTCAAGTAGATTTGGTACACCAGAAGAACTTAAAATGCTCATAGATGACGCTCATGGAATGGATTTACATGTTTTAATGAATATAGTTCATTCGTAAAAATTATATATATATAAAATATCTATTAATATATATGAATATATAAAGATATATATATAAATATATAAATATATATAAATATATATATATATATATATATATTTATGTTTTTATTTATATAAATTTACCTAAATATATCAATATTTATACATATGTTTATAGACATGCTAGTAATAATGTTAATGATGGTTTTAATTAATGGGATGGTAGTGATTTTTAATATTTTAAAGGAAACCATGATTTATGGGATTCCAAAATATATAATTATAATTTGTATGAAGTTTAAAGGTTATTACTTAGTAATTTAGCTTGGTTTATGATAGAATATAATATGGATGGGTTTAGATTTGATGGGGTTGGTTCCATGTTATATACACATCATGGGATTGGTGTATAGTTTAATGGTAATTATAAGGAATATTTTAATGATAGTACTACTGATTTCGATGCTATCGTTTACTTAATGTTAAGTAATTTACTTGTACATACTATTTATGAAGATGCTATTACTATAGCTGAAGATGTCTCAGGTTATCCCAATCTAAGCAGAAGTATTTTAGAAGGGGGGATAGGTTTCGACTATATATTATTTATGGATGTACCTGATATGGTTAAACATATTATATTATTTTTTAAAAATTATAATATTTATTTTGTTAATAGTTAATAGCATTTAAATAAAAAAAAGAGGAAGATTTAATTATTTAAGATATTATATAAACTCTTATTAAAAGAAAAAATGATGAAAAATGTATTGTTTATGTTGAATGTCATGATTAAACACTTTACGGATTTATGACTTTATCTAATTTATTATTTGACTAAGTATTTTAATAAAATATATGCATATATATAATTATATATTTATTTTTATTTTAATTATCTTTTTTTAGCTTATTTTTCTTTAACAAATATAAGGATATATATGAATAAATGTCAGTTTTTATAAAAGAAAATGCAAATACTGAAAGAGGAATGTATTTACATAAAATAATTAGATTAATTACTATAGGATTAGGAGGAGAAGTATATTAATTATATATATATATTTAATTTTTACTTAAATTAATTATATTTCTTGTATTTTTATAAAATACAATTGGAATAAAATATAAAAACTGATATTTATTATATTTTTTAATAAATAATAAACTATATAAATAAATAAAAATTATATATTAATAATATATATATAAATTTAAATATATATATATATATATATATTAGGGTTATTTAAATTTTATGGGCAATGAATATGGACATCCTGAATATATTGATTTTCCAAGAGAAGATAATGGATATAGTTATAATTTATGTAGAAGGAGATGGGATTTAGTTGATGATAAATTAATGAAATTTAGATATTTAAATGTGAAATATATAATTGTATTTTTTTTTATGTCTTTTTTTTTATTTATTTAAGGAATTCGATAAAGAAATGATTTTTAGTGAAGAATATTTTAAATGGCTATCAAATAAATTTCATAATTTTAATTGCTTTTCATTAAGAAGATAAAATTATTGCTTTTGAAAGAAAAGATTTACTTTTTGTTTTTAATTTCCATCCCACAAAAGTAAAATATATTGTTTTAAAAAATATAAAATAAATAAAGAGTTATGAAAATTATACAATAGGAACAAATATAGAAGAGGATCATATAATAATATTAGATACAGATCAAGTATTTTGTTTTAAAAATATACATAATATATATATATATATATATATATTTATATATTTATATATTTATATATATATTAATAAATAGTAAAAATTTGGAGGACATAATAAAGTATAATAAGGTTATAATATACCTATTAAATTAATTAAATAAAGTTATAATAATTGTAGTTTTAGTATAAATTTATATATTCCATCTCGAATAGGATTAATATATACTTATAAAACAAAAGCAATTGAATTTAATGAATGGAAGAAGTTAAAAATGGAAAAAGAATACAATTTTTAATATTAATGAAAAATAAAAATAAAAAGATCATATAAAATTTTTCAATTAAATTGATTATTTGTTATTTTCTAGTTTTATTTATTATTAAGCTTATAATTAAAGAATTCTGGAATCATTTTTTAATAAATTACTTATTAAGTTTTTAGTTTTTATATTTATTTATTATTGTTATATTAATAAATTTAAATAATTTAAGTCTGTTGTTTATATTAAATTTCTCAAGTTTTAATTTACTAATATAAATATTTCATTTAAATCAGCTTAATATAAATTTGAATTATTTAAAAAAAGCATCCAAAATTCTAAAAACATAAAAAAATCTTACTTTTAATTTCTTCCTTAATAAATTAAATTCATAATATGAAAAATTCCGATTATATTATTTTTTTGCTTTTCACTTATTTAAATTTTCTCTTAAAAATTTCGCCTAAATTTTTCTATTATAAGGTAAAAAATATTAATTATTCCTCCTATTATTTATATTTCATTAACTTATTATAAAATAATACTTTTACAAAATTCAATAAATTTTTAAAAATCTAAAAGTATTTAAAAAGTAAGAAAACTCATTAAATTTATTATTTTTTTTATATTTTCTTAGCTTATTTATTACTAAAATTCCAAGAAAAAATTCTAAAATGAGTATAAAAAAAAATAAAGTGTAAATTTATTATTTTTATTAAAATATGTTTAAATGGAATTTATTAAAATTTCTATAAGAAAATCCAAATTTTTTAAATGATTTTAAATATAATAATCTTTTACTTATTTTTTTTATATAATTAAAATAAATATATATATGAAGTATAAATATATATATATATATATATATATTATAATATTTGTTATATAATATTTTTTGTTACAATAAATTATTATGTTTTTCTATATTAAAATAATATCTTAGAAACTTTCTAACTAGAAAAAATATTAAAAAATTAGATAAAATATAAACTCTATTTTTTCATTGAAAACCATTTCTACTTTTTCAAAATTAGACATTTAAATTTTTAATTAGTATATTTTTTTAACAATTTGATATATTTTTCATTTTAATTTCCTATATTAAAATTCAAATCTAAATACCTTACTAATATAATATTTATAATAGTATTTATTTAAATAATTAGATTAGTTTTATTTTCTAATTAAATAAATTTCTTCTAAACCATAAAAATACACATATCAATAAAAATATTATCAAAATCATATAAACCGTAGTCAAAATATACTTCGAAAACATTTAAAAACTCACTGAAAATTTCTTCATCAAAAACATCTTCGAATTTTTATTAAACTATCTAAAAAATTGTCTCCATTATTTATATTTTATGGTTCAATTTACGAATTAATTAACCTTCTAGCATCTAATAATATATATTTTTTAAATAAAATTCTTCCTATTGTATATTTGTATTCGCACAAAGTTAAAAAATAAGCAAATAAAAAGATAAACTAGTCATTTTTTTTTACCTCCTTCTATATATTTATCACTCTCTTTTAATTAATTTATATATTTTTCGCTTTCTTGTGTATATACGAAATCTTTTTTCGAAATTTCTTATAGAAAATACAAATAATACTTAATAAAATCCACTATTATATAAAAATGCATTTTTATATCATAAGAGCTTCTTAAGCCATTATAAATTAAATAATAATTTTTAAAACTTTCTAATTATTTTCTACTACCAATTAATACTACTGTACTATCTAATAGAGTTGCTTATATATTCTATAATAGATAAAAAGTTAGTCTATATATATATTTATGAATATTAATATTTTTTTTTATAATTTACTCAGGTGTATATAATTTAAATAAATTCTCTTTTAAAATTTAATCTTAGATTTTTTCATTAATAAATTTGTAAGTTAATGATAGACAATCTATTCTTTTAATATATATCGAAGTTATACTTTTCTCGCTATAGAATTATTAAAAGGTTACTTTTTTTAAAAAAAAAAATTAAAAGATAGAAATAATTTATATTTTACTTTTAGGATTATTTAAGAGTTATTTAGAAATTAAATAGAAAACTTTCTTTATATATTAAAAATCAGAATATATTATATGTTAAAAAAACTTCGAGAAAAGTATAAATGTCTATATGTTAACATCTGGCATATTCTATTTTTCTGTTTTAACATTTGAACTAATAATAAATTCGATTTAAGCTATATAATCTTAAATAATTAAATTATTATTTTTATTATAATCTAATTTTCCATTAATGATGCTTCCATCAAATTATATTTAATTTCTAT